CTCTGACTCTTATAAACTCGCCAACAAAACCATTAGGGAGCGTAACCTGGACCTCTTGTACTTCGCCAATGCGACTCGCTAGGTTTTCCAGAAAGCTTTTGTTTTTCAGAACTCCGTCTGGCAGTTTGTGAATTTGTGCCCAGGTTTCCAACCGATCAAGTTTTACCTTTTCTGGCTTGGAGAAACCATCATACTCAGCAAGAATTAAAGCATGACCTTTGAAATCCCAGGGGGCCTGATGCATGGCCTTGTTCCAATCACCCAAGCAGTTGAATTGGATAGAGTAGAGGTTAGGATTTATCCTCCTCCAAATTACTTCATTTGCTGGATTCCATGCCGCACGCATGTCACCAATGAGAGCGCTCTGACTAAACGATTTGGTCGTCAAAAGACGTCCAATCGCAAGCCACTTTGGTCTGACTTCCTCTGTATCAATCTCATCTTCCCAAACCAAATCATCAAGTTCATCCTCCTGCAGGGTTAGGCGATCTAGTAGATCGGTGGTACTATCAACTCCCGGACCTTTGGGCGCTTCTTCATCCACCTGACTAGCCATGCCTCCCAGCGAACTAGCAGAACAACCAACGAAGACTCTTCTGTAACCCTAGCAACACCCTGCTCCCCACCAAGGCCGGGTAGGCGAACCAGTCGCCCCCTGGTTCAGCCCAAGCGAGAGGGAAGGGTGTAGCGTAGGGGAGAAGGGAGAGAGATCGGCTTTCGCCGGAAGAAACGATACTCCCGGCGCAGATCGCCGGAGGACTGGAAAACCCTAGGCCGCCTCCGAGGGGACAGAGCGTATATGTCTCTCAACTCATTTTAATTTAGATGCAGCTTCATTATTGCCAGACTTTGTGCTAGTTAGGTTTTCGGGTCTGGTTTTCCTTACTCTTCTCAATGAAATGCAGGAACCCCCTGCCCCTTTCGAGGTGTTCTTGAAAAAAAAGACCTTGTGCTAGTCACCTCCGGGGCCGTTCGATCCGAAAAGCTCATAACTATTTCATCCAATGGGCATCGTCCTCCCCGCGATCTAGATGCCCCATCCCTTGTTCTTGCTCCCTCCTAGCCCCCTTCGCGCTGCTACGCAGCAGGACCACCGCCCCTCATTGGTTGCCCTTTCCCCCATCAACCACCCTCGCCGTAGGTCAGAGTTCGGTGTCAAGGGTGTGGTCGCAGCACGGTTGGCCATGGTCATACCGTCCCCTGCAACCGTTCCAGCATATCCAAGCCGTGATCGTAGCGTCCCCCCATTGTTGGTTCCCAGCAGCTACCGACCATGGCATCGTAGCATTCCCCTGCATTCGGCTCCATATGTGGTTACCACAATGCCAACATCTCAGGTGGTTGATCCCAGCATCCAGCCCTGTCAGTCGCAGCATCCCGGCGGCGAGAGAGCATGGCGTCAGGTGGCTCGGAGCACCCCGACTCGATAGTTGCAGCCCCCGATATTTTAAATTGGATTTGAACAAACATGATGATTTTCATCTAAACCAGACGAAAATTCACGACATATTTTTGACAGTTGAAGCTCTTCTTGGGCGGTGAAAGGGACCTGAGTGAGCTTTCCACGCTTTCCCACCGGTCTCTAGAGCGTAGGCGTTCTGTTGTGACGAGCGGAGAGCACGGTGCCGCGAGGGCCGAGCCGGCACATGCACGCTCTCCCCACACGAGCCAGGATTTCGTTGGAAGTTGAAGCTGGTCAGACGCTGCTGCAGGTTGATGTCGACTGCCTTCCTCCCTTGGAGTTGGATAGAGAGCTGTGAGGCCGGCTACGGTTGCGTTTCGGTTTCTCCAGTTTGTTCACGCGCACTCACGCTGTCACGCAAACTGCAAGGACGGTCGGGACTTCAAAGAAGAAATCCAGACGTGGACGTCCGGTGTGTTGCTGAAGCGTTGGCCTGGCCAGACGAACAAACACGACCCGCTCGTCAATCGTCGCCCGCGCGCCTTCGGGAAACGGCCGGAGCACGTGAGCAGTGCCGGCGGCCGTGGAGTCCATCCACGTCGCGCGCGGAGTCAGACGGACTCGTCGTCACCCACCAGAAATTCACGCCGCAGTAGCTACGTACCGGGAAGCTCCTTCACCTGGTCGTAGGTTTGCTTTGCTCTTCAAAGTACGGTACGGGGATAAACGCCGCTTGGACACGTATCGACGTTGGAGGCACAGCTGGTACGGTACGTGGAGGGCTCTGTGTACGTGCTGCACGCCTTGCAGTTGCAGCTGCAGATCTGCTCTCGGTACATGAACCAGCACATCATTTCCTGCATCTGCATACGGCCTGTGAAATTTTCACGGGCACCCAGCACATCATTTTCGTTTTCCGCAGTCGCAAAAATACAGCGCTTCAACAGAGGTTGGTATATACTACCTCCGTTTTCTCTAGATATAAGACATTTTAGAGATTTCTATACATACCACATATAGATGTATATAGACGCATAGTGTAGATTCACTTATTTTTTTTTAATATAAGACCTTTTAGAGATTTCAATACAGATTATATATGGATGTATATAGATGTATTTTAAAGTTTAGATTCACTCATTTTGCTCCCTATCCGTATGTAGTCTTCTATTGAAATCTCTGAAAAGGCTTATATTTAGAAACGAGGAGAGTATATGAAATCAATGCATGGAAACCACACAAGGTTGGCATTTTATTTCCAGAATTGCCAAGGTTCGCATCCCTTGTCCTGTAAAAACATACAGAGGTTTTGTGGACATGTTGCAACAATGCGCCAGGGGAATCTGCAATGCAGAAAACTACTGCACCGTGGGTAAGACGAATCCGCAATGCAGAAAACTATTGCACCGTGGGTAAGACCACGGCAACACATAAGGGGCGGACCCACGTGGTCGTTGCCGGTGTCACAGGACACCGGGTAAAATTTCTCGTTACGTACTATATAAGGCACATATACTCCTGTGACACCGGTAAAGTTAGTCGATGGACACCGGCCAGAGCCAGCGAAACGGTGTACGAGCAATGCCCATCTAATAGTCCAGGCACACGACAAGATAGAGTTTGATTGATCTGGTTTGGTTTGTGTATGTGGGCCTCCAGCCTGCTGGCTTCTCGCATCTTCGCGTTGATTCCTCAGAAAGCTCACGCTAGCCCTATCGCCGCCCACCTCTCTGCTCGCCATCGAAACATCGCGGCGCGCCAGTGTCGTCCCGCCTGACTCCGTGACTCACCCAGATCACTGGAAAGAAAAAGGTACGGCAAGAGAACCCCTCGATCTGTTTCAAGTGTGTATCTCTATTTCTCACAATTTTTGTTTCTCAAACACCGAACTAGGGCTTCAAATCTTAAGGATGTTACAATTACATATTGGATTACTGCATTTTTTTTTGGACCTATGCACGTGTATTTGAGAATAGGATTACCGGGATTTTTCAATATGTATGCCGCTACGAATTTGTTTGAGAATTGAATTATTGTGAATTTCCAAATTTTGGGAGTGCTTATCATTTTTGCCGATCATCCTTGTCTCCATTGTTTGGAGTTTTTATGCTTTACTATTTTTTAACTTCATATAATCAGCTAGTAATTGCTAAGGCTCTGTTTGGGAGTAATTTGTTTGAGACTACAGTTTTTAACCCCATGATGACAATGAATATTTTAGCATATGAAACCATCAGTTTCTAAAACTACTGCGAAAATGGTGCCGTTTTTGGCAAGCAACATACTATGTAGTATTGTATTTGACCACCACTAGTGTCCTTTGTTGTTTTCCTCGGTTTTTAAAATAGAGGTCCCGATCTTTTTTTTCATACAGCAAAAATACCATAGTTTTGTGGATACTTTCAAATACATTACTACAGCAAAAATACATTAGTGCATTATTATTTTTTGCTTTCAAATACTGCAATTTTTTAAAGTATTTTTGCAGTATTTGAAAGCAAAAAATAATAATGCACTAATGTATTTTTGCTGTAGTAATGTATTTGACTACAAGGAATTGCACTGATTGTTTTTGCGGGGAAATACTGCAATCTTAATTAGAGGCAAACATCTCAAAGTATTTGAAACGGTACTTTGTCAAAATAGTATTCTTGAAATACATTGTAACCAAACGCATCCTAAGTATGTAATTTTTATGTATAGCATTGTATGTTTCTATGCATATGTGATGTACATATGGACACCGGGTCATTTTTGTTCTGGGTTCGCCCCTGAACACATTACACGGCAGCAGCTGCAGAAGAAAAAGACCGCACTCACCAACACTCAAAACCAACCTATTCCCTTCGTCCCATAATATAAGTTCCTTCACCTGGTCGTAGGTTTGCTTTGCTCCTCAAAGTACGGTATACGGATAAACGCCTCTTGGACACGTATGGACGTTGGAAGCACAGCTGGTCTGGTACGTGGAGGTGGACGGTCTGCCTTTCCTTGCGTATGTATATGTGCTGCACGCCTCGCAGTTGCAGCCGGAGATCTGCTCTAGACACACGAACCACCACATAATTTTCGTTTTCTGCAGTCGCAAAAATACAGGGTTTTCTCTTTATGTTAACCCAGTACATCACCAAAAGACATAAAATAAATTCAGAAAAACACGAATACCGGTGTCTAGGATTTGAACACGGTGATACCACTGTCCTTCTAACCGTCCAACCATTGGTTTGCAGTTTCAACTGAGGATGATGTATATGAAATCAACGGAGGAAAAGACACAAGGTTGGCATTTTATTTCCACAATTGACAAGGATCGCATGTACTATCCCTGGCCCTGTAAAAACATACAGAGGTTTCGCGGACATGTCGCAACAGTACGCCAGGGGAATCCACAATGCACAAAACTACTGGGCCGTGGGTAAGACCATGGTAACACATCACACAGCAGCAGTTGCAGAAGAAAAACAGCCGCACCCACCAACACTCAAAACCAACCTAGCATTTTTGCCGTGCACTTTATTACATCTAATACACGATCGTATCCGGAACATTCCAGCTCCTCCATCCCGACTGGACATGGCAAAACACCCAGGTAAACCATCTAGAGTCGCGACTTGGTGCCATCAGCTGTGGTGGCAGCCTGCAACAGTTTTCAGGGGATGCACAATCAGGTGATGCAAAATTCACTAATTCAGTAGAATGAGAAGAAGCGCCATTCCGGATCCCAAAGCTACATCAATGACGCGGAAATGCGATAGAATCTTACCAAGGATGCGCCGTGACTAGCTCTGGCAGCTAGATATTCACAGGGTTTGAAGAACTCTCCATAATCTTTGGACCACCCGTCCAGTCTGCGGTACACGTATTCCGCGCTGAGAGAGTCGGCCCAAAACATCACTCCACCCCTGGTGTAAAAAGAGATCACATAGGACTGATCAGTTAAGATAAATATATCAGTTAGGATAAATATATATCAGTTCAGGGGTAAGCAGTTGGACCTAAAAGAAGGGAAGCCCATTCCCATAATGGATGCTACATCAAGATCAGATGCTTTCAGTGCAATTCCCTCATCAAGGACTCGGCAGGCCTCATTCACCACGGGAAAGAAGACCATCTCTACAATGTCCTTGTCTGTTAATTTCAGCAGCTGAGGGAAATGAAATCGCTTGTCAGATTTGTTTGAGCAAAACGAGTGAAACACTGAATCGACAGGCTAGTATGTACACGGTGTGCAGTACAACGATGACAGGCAAAAAGATGCACACACAGACAACATGTACTCGATCACAAACTGTGATATGGTACAATGTTCACATCTTGTAATTCACATATAGCTTATAGTGCACTGAATAGTGCCCCGAGTTATTTTGGACTTGAACTAATCATTTAAGTTGGGTTTATCTCATAGCCAAATTTTCTGCATCTTACAGATCATCCAAAGAAAATGAACACAGAAAAGAAGATACAACACATGCCAGCGATAGAGAAAGGTACCGTGAGAACTAAAATGAATACATCTGTGACACTGAGATGTGTCCATGCAGGTGATGTACAGATAACAAGATTTTCTTTTGGGTTTCAAATCATTCTTTAATAAACCAGAAGTAGATAACTAAGTTAGATATAACATGACCTTAGGATCTTGTGCAACACCTGCCATCTTTCTTGATTTCTCAACATACTTTTTGATATCAGGGTCTGGAGAAGCTTGTCGCTTATCATCATAAAGATAAAATCCCTTACGAGAAGATTCACCTGTCCAGGATTCCACAAGTTAATTAACAATGAGATACCAAGCACTAAGTGGAGTGTATTTTCGATATGGAAGAACCTGTCCTGTTCTCCTCCAGCATAACTGCAGTAAGAAGCGATTTATAGCATCGCTCTGGGTAACTCTGATAATATTGCTTTCCAGTGGCAACGGCAACGCCAAAGCCTACAAGATCAGCTAATCTGTACAGACATGATAAAAAAGAAACTACTGTCAGACAAATAAATATATATCTACGAAAATGTTCCATAAATGAACATGAAGGTGTGTACATGTGTTGCATTAATCTGAACTAGATTGCATGGGAACAATGTTAAGGCACTCTATGATAATAAAAACCAAGAACTCTACCAATATCAAAGCAAATAACAGACAAGCTCTATAAAGCAGCCAAAAGAGGAACAAGATAGCATAAATATGTTTTCCATCAAAAGACTACTTCGGTCCTACCACAATACTCTACTGGAAACCAATAAAAACTCAAAAGGAAGTAGCTACTCTGATTTATTAACTTAACAGGTGCAAAAACGCGGCAGCCAAATTCTATCTAACTCAACCAAAATATATTACAAGTTCCCAGATCAAACATAAGTATTTGACTAGGAAAGAAACAAAGAAAAATGACCATATGGCAGAGGACCGAGATTAAACACTACCAGTGCAAGCTTACATCTAAATGAGCTATTATTCATCTAAGTCAACACTGAACCATAATGCTTTGTCAAAGCTGTGGACAATAGTTGGTTCCTATGATACCAGAAATCAGAAAGCAAGGGCAAAAAAATGATCTTAAAATTCTGCAGTAATTCACTAAAAGCCGTAGCCTAACTGCTTGAGTATGCAAGGGAACTGGCCAATTGTGCAGCTCACAATATCTGATATATCCTTACCGAAATGGCCCCATCGGCATTCCAAATTGTGTTATCACATGGTCTATGTGATATACATCCAAACCATAATCAACAAGCAAACCAGCCACCTGTCCATAAGGAAAAAACATCCTATTGACAGCAAACCCAGTGCAGCTCCCAACAACAATTGGTGTTTTCCGTATCTTCTTCGCCACATCTAGCAAGTCCACAATAACTTGTGAGGAAGTCTGCTGAGTACGAACTATTTCCAACAGTGGCATGACATGAGCTGGACTGCAAGTATACTACAGTTAGATACTTGAGTTGAGAAAGATGGGATATGGAATATGAAGTGCATAATGGACTACCTGAAGAAGTGGGCACCAACAATTCGATCTTGACAAGCTGTCTGTTGGCCAATTAACTGCAAATCTATCGTCGAAGTATTTGTGGCAAATATGCAATTAGAGTGACAGCTCCTTTCAAGGTCAGAGAATATTTGCTGCTTCAGCGATATATCCTCAATAACGGCCTGCAAGATTTTATCAAGTAGCCGTCAAGATCATTATGTGCTCTCCTTCATCTAAGCATATAGATTAGTGCAAGTTAGAATGCTTGACTCAAAAGCTGTGGTGAACATAATAAATGATTATACATAAGCAAATGTTTGATAAGAATGGTAGTACTTGAAATAAGAAAATATTTCTTGCTTCCACAATCTTCCAAGACTTGCATTAATTTTCCATCACAATCATTGTCCATTTGGCCCTAAGCTAAGTAGATATTTTTGTTTAACAAAGAGGAAAAAATGTTGTAAAGCGAATATCCTGATACCATTTCTGATTTTATAACTATGGCACTATGCTGGAAGTTAACACAAATCAGCGACATTTTACTTTCCCAGCGCAGTTGCATGTTAGTACTGTACAATTTTATATTTCAAATATCACCACTATCTATATATGATAATCTTGTCCATTATAACTTGTCCCTAGCACAATAAGCGGTACAGCTCCTTGTTTCTGGGTTTATAAGGAGTTTGTAGGATGTTTACATTTTAGATTATTGTGGGGCCTACTAGTCGATTTTCCTATTTAGAATTCTAGTACGATTTCTTTAGGCATCAAAGCGAAGGAGGTGCCTTGAATATCACCAGTTGCATCCGCTTATATAGATTATTATCGAGGAGCAGGATGAAACGAGCACTAGATCAGTGTTCAGTGATATTTCCTATGGAATAAGATCAGAGAAAGAAGTATTTGTCAACAAACTGGATCTACCTCAATGACCACATCTGCATCTCTAAATTGCTCATAGTCAAGAACACCGGACAGTAGAGAAAGTTTATTTTCATAATCATCTTTGGTCATTCTTCCCTTTTTGACAAAACTCTGCAAATTGGCTGAACAGAAAAGAAAGAATATATGATAAACTGCAAAGACAATCTCAATAGAAGTTTCCAAGGTAAAAAGAACTCACCTTTAATTCTGTTAATACCAGTATTCAAGAACTTCTCATTTACTTCTTTCAAGACTACCACAATGTCACTCAGTATGAACGCAGTTGCAATTCCGGATCCCATTAGACCTCCCCCAACAATAGCTGCCTTTAGTATTCTCCGTGGTGTCAAACCCAAGTTGGTAATATTTGGTATCTATTAGAGCATGAGACAGTCAGTTAAATGAATGCATACATCATGCTAAACCGCTAACTTCCAAGAAAAGCTCAGTTTCCATTTAATATTTATGGTCCTATACCGACCTTATGAGCATTTTTATCAGTAGATGCAAAAGGAGCTTACATGTAATAAAGGAAAACCAGAATACAAACATCCGGAATTTTTGCACATGTTACATTCAGATCATAAGTTTCATCTTCTAAAATGAATAAATATATGTTCTGCACTTTATAGTGTGCTGACCTTCAACTAATTAGACTGAAAGAAATATAAGAACTATTGTTGTGTTTTGGTTTTACTGGGAGCCGATAACTAAATAACACTAACTTCTGAGGCTGGATAAAAGCAAGTATGAGAACAAATATTTCCAAAGCTTTATCCTTGCAGTTCTACCAACCTTTGAAGTCGCGCGTTGGGCGAAAAAGACATGTCTTAAGCTTTTGCTTGTTTGAGATTGCTCAAGCATTTTTCCAGAAAGCACTTCCTGTCAATTGTCAAAATAGAATATTGAAAAGCACTAAGAACCACTAAGGGCTTATGGTAGATGCTCCACGATGTAGGACTACCTAGTGATTTACCTTCATGAGGGCGGCACGAGGGCCAAAAAGAATTCCTTCTTCAATAACATCAATGCAAACTAACGGATGTTGAAGATTAGCAGACTGTTTTAGGGCTTGTACTCTCGCAGATTTAAGAATTTTCTTTGCTTCCACAATATCTGTAAGTCTATCCGTTCTCAGGAGACTCTTTAACCATGGCTTTTTGTGTTCGTGGATTTCCAGAGCACAAGAACAGGCAGTGCTGACCAGCTTATCAGCTGAAACTATGGCATCAACCAAACCGAATTTGTGAGCCTCTACTCCTTTTATAGACTTTGACATCTATTAAGAAAAGACACAAGTATTCATGGTCAACACACAACACTCTCATAATTTTCTTGCATGTTCAACACGAGGAAAACAACTGTGCATGCATTGCATCTTGCAATGTACAAATCAGCCATACCAACATCATCTCAAGAGCTTTTTGCAGGCCAACAAGGCGGGGCAATCGTTGTGTTCCTGCAGTAGGTGAAGACCTTTCAATCAACATAAAACAAGAAAAGAAAATTTGAGCAGCCTGTGAATTTAGCAGAGAAATCAACATGCAAGGAGCCGTCTCTTGAACTTGCAGTGGAACATTTTTTATACCTTTCCTTTAAAATGATTATGTATCATGGTTAGCTGTATGATACAGCAGACCGATAAACAAAAGAGTGTTTTTAACAGATTACACCAAGTTCCCTTTCTTCCTAGTTTCTTTCATATGTATACTGTGAATTATGTTTATTGAATGAAATGCCTCAGGCCTGAGGAGGCCTAGTTAGTTCAAGAAGTCATAATTCTACATCTACTGCGTACCGCATAGGGCAATTGCTTATGGGGTTAAATCTCTTCCATCCTACGGCATATGGATCTACCATTCTTCTTTTGCTTCCTTTGTATCCCATAAGTAAAATGGAAATATGAACAAGAACACGGTAGCCTCTTTCCAAAGGGGACAGGTGCAGTGCACAATGTACTCATGTTTAGACCAAAGGTAAGAAGTACACACAGGGAAGTATGAGCAAATATAATATCACATGCAAGACCGTGCTGAGACTTGAGAGTACCTCCCATTCCAGGAATGATACCAAGCTGAAGTTCAGGTAGTCCTAATTGAGCTGACGGTGTAGAAACGCGAGCATGGCAAACCTGCATAAGAAGAAAGTACAGTGTTGAGCAAATAGACACTTCTTCAGAGAAACCGAAAAGGTCTAAGCATAACCCCAAATATAGAACCTAACCATACCATTGCAAGCTCTAAGCCACCACCTAGAGCAACACCATCTATAGCAGCCACTGACGGCTTCTGAGCATCTGGCAGCAGCTAGTACTTAGTGATGAAATGTAAGGAAAAGGTCTACTTGTTGACAAACTTGGGTTAGACGAAGAGGCTCATAAGTTACCTTCCACTACGCCAGTCAGAAAATCAATCGAAAAGGACCCGGGCTTCTCGTTTTCTGGGTGGGTGGGGGGACACGGAGACTTAGCAATGGAAGTGAGCAATGCAACAAAATACTCAGTGTACCATCTTGTTCTTACTTGGTTTATTTCCGAATCCATTTATATCAAATCCACCTGAAAACCTCCCTTTGGCCCCTGCACAAAGTGTAAAACACTAGAAATATCGCACTTGCATAGGATGCCTGACAAGGTGATTTTGTTAAATACCAGTGAGAACGATGGCCTTGACATCATTCCTTCTTAGAGCTTCTCCATAGTTGCTCTGCAAGCTAGCTATGACTGCAGAACAGAAAAGAGAGGCCTATCATGCCCACATTACTAGTCCACAGAATTTACCTACGCTTGGAAAATGATTGAACACTGATGGATCATCAGTTTGTCGGTCAATAAACATGGCACACGGAACAGTGCTGCTATCTAGATTGCTCTAAGAAGCACTTCAATTCAATAAGTTAATTAGTTTCATAAACATAACGAACTTTTTTAGTCCGTAGCAACGCACGTTGTTTCTTGTCCCGCTTGCATGACACAATACATGGGCATGAAGAAATGGGCATACAGTTCTATATGTGGGTGGAGCAATGTTAGTCGGTAATCTTTAGCAGGCAGCAGGCAGAGCCACTCCGTTGCCGCGGCCATGGCCGATCGTTGTTCTGCATATGTGGGGGCTACTGAAACGTGATGCGCAGATCAATTTAGGAAATTCCATGATCTTGGGAGAAAACCGAAGAATTCCCCAATGCGCAGCAAAATCGCGTCATCAAACAGCACGCTGCGCGCTCCAGCAGACGAGCCGGGCCGCTCCTGGGCGATGTGAATCCCACGCGGATCTTCCGGAAACCGCGCGGAATCGAGGCCAAATCCGGCGGAAAACGGTCGGGGGGAATGGAGATGTACCGTCAAAGGAGAGGGCGTTGACGGGCGGGTTGGAGATGGTGATGACGGCGACGCCGTCGGCGCGGACCTCCATGGTGGTTGCGCCCCTCGCCATCTCCGTCGGGGACGAGACGGCCGGCCGGCACAGCTGAAGCTGCTTCTTTTGTTTTCTTGAGTGAAGCACAGGTGAAGCTGCTTGCGTGTGCAGTTAAGAGCATCTCCGGCAGTACAGTGTCTAACAAATCCTGCTGTTGGCCAAAAAAGAATTTTAAAAAAATGCTCCAACAATTCGATGAACTCGTAAAAAAAAAGAAAACGCTTAGTTTCAGCCGGTTTTTTTTCCTGCTGGCGCAAACCTCCTCCCCAGCCATCCGATCTCTAGAGATCCGTGTGGCTCCAGTCATTAGCGCGGTTTCACTTCCGCTTTAGAGCATCTTCATCCGCCCTTCCAGGACGTTCCCGAAACATCTTTTTAGGCTCGGTTTTAGTCTTGGCGACGCTTTTTATCGAAAAACGGCCTAGTTACGCCCCAGCGCACCCCCCCTCTCCCCCCTCCCAGGACGTCAAAATAGCACCGACAAAATCCAGGCAAAACCCAACGCGTTGGGGGACTCTCAGGGGCGCCGGCGAAAGTTTCGACGAATCGTGTCTCTCTACATGTCCTTTTTCTTGGACCATTTAATCGTTTCCCTCACAAATTTTGGTTGAAGTGGGGTGTAGCTGGGAAGATGCCTCCCCATGCACTCCTATTTCGACTTGATGAAGCATTTGGCCTCTCAAAACATCATTTTTTCTACTCCCTCCTTCCATCTATATAGGGCCTAATGCATTTTTTAAGACCGCCTTTGACTATTGACAAGATTAATAGTACATGACATGCACAATGTGAACATTATATCATTGAAAGCTCCTTTCACACACGAATTTAACGGTGTGCTTTGTGTAAGTTGCATGTCATATATTATTGCTCTAATATTTGGTCAAAGTTAGCCTTGAAAAACGCATTAGGCCCTATATAGATGGAAGGAGGGAGTATTTAATGGTGTTTTGGGGGCTCCAACGGCTGGAGATGCCCTTATTCACGGGAAGTGCTGAAAGGGTGAAACGGCTCTTTCACATATCACATGGACGGTAGGCCAGGCCCAAAAGGCTGGTCAAATGTAGGCTTGCAGCAAACCACGGACCCATTAGTATCTACACCATTAATTTGATTTTTTTTTAAAACGACATATGTATCTGGCACATCAGATGTTTTTTGCAAAACTGCCGAACAACATGAGCGTAGTCAGATCTCAATCGCTTGGTCCGTTTCCGCTTGGTCCTCCTCCCTGCATCACCGTGGGAACGATAACTTTGCGTGCACGTCATCGCTGCTCGGGTACTCGGCGTCCGGGACGTGGCCGCGGCGCACGAGTGCGCCATCTGCCTGGGCGATTCGTGGGACGGCGACGACGTGCGGCCAAGACTTCCACGCGCGCTCATAGAGCGTTGGCTCGTCGTCCCTGTCGCTGGGCCCCGCCGTCCCTCCTACCTGACCTGCCGCGCACCGACAGCGCGTCCTCTGATGTCCGCCGCTCACGCGCGAGGGCCCTTGGCCAAGAAACCTGCCGCATAGGCCAGCATGCAATTACCCAACCCAGCAAACTGCCCCTCGTGCCAGCTGACGAATGGGGTGTTTGTTTTCAGGGATTTTTTTATGTAAGGACTAGAAAAAGTTTTTTTTAAAGACTTTTTTACCAAACGGAAGGAGCTTTTTAGGGACTGAAATAGGCATTTGGGACTAAATGAAGAAGACTCTCAAGGAGAGTCTTTTGAGGATTTTTTGGGACTTTTTCAACAATGCCCTTCCATGCATTCATTGGCCCGTCACCCCATGGTGTTATTTGATTGTTATTTTTCTATATACTAGGGGCAACATGATCATTTAATAACCTCTAGGAAGAGACTAGGGATTTTTTAGTCTCTGGAAACAAACAGGGAGGGACTTTTCAGGGACTAAGGACTTTTTAGTTGGGACTATAATTTTTTTTCCTAAGACTAGAGAACCAAACACCACCGAAAACTCTGCTCCGACGCAAGCATCTGACTAGGAGGGTGACACCAAAGCTCCATTTTGAAGCACAAGTGCCATCGTCGGACATGCAGATCAGAGCAGGCAAAATCCACTTGCGGCTCGGACCCAACATCAATTGCAGACAAGAAGGCCGGTGGCAACGCTACATCTGCTCCACCCAAGGGCCATGGCTGGTTGCGCAAACCAATGCCGATGGCCGCCGCCGGCTATCTTTCATCTATAGCTGGACTTGCTAAATCCGACCTCAAAAACTCTCGCAATGATCAGTCATGTCTCAAAAAATGCGTTTCGCATCTGAATATCTCAAATTAGAAACCTCAAATCCATATTATTACATGCAACGCAACGATTATTGAGCGGAGCTTCATCCGGTTTCGCTCCCCGCTCGCCCGGCTCTGCCATGGCTATGTCCGGCGGCCAGCTGCACCCCTCAGAGTGTTGGTCCGGTTGCCGGCAAGGTAGAGTGAGGCATGGCGAGCCGGCTCACGAGACTCAAGGCGCCGCTGTCTCCCATGCCTTACTCTTCCTTGTCGGAGCCCGTAACCCGAAAGGTGCCGGTGGACGTCAAATTGATAACGGATCCGTCCTGGAACAAGCCACCGACGTCCACCACAATGTGGTTGCGGCGTCCGGACTGATGTGCCATACGGGGCACCAGAAAATGCGACTCCGCCTCACCGACGTCCACCACTGTGAGGGTCGCCTCCCGCGTCCGGTGCCAGGCACGGCGGGCACGACGTGCCATGTACTCGTCTCGAGGCCCATGGTGCATCCTGATGCTCGGCGCGCCAACGGAGGGGTTCGCGTCCGCCACCGCGTTCGGACGCCAGACGGACTTCACCGCCTCCGACGAGGCAGCTACGGCTGACCTAGCGCCGGATCTAGCGCCATTTGGGAGGACGCAATGGATTCCCAGCGAAAGGAGCCCAAGTGCTACCTTGCACGCGCATCCTCCCGAGCGTGACGGAGCGCAAGCCGAACGACCATCTTCTTCTCAGGGCTGCGTGGGATGAGTTCGAGTTCGACGGATCTGGAGGTGAAGGACTCGGATCCGCTGCCCGCCATGCCGGAGACGGTCGAAAGGTGCCAGAGACGAACTTGGGTGACGGAGGAGAGTGGAGTGAAGTGCCTAGGGTTTGGTCCGGCGAGTGGATGAGGAGAAATATATGTGGGGTCGGGTGGGTCAGCGTGGGCCGGGTCTGACGTGGCAGGCGTGCCCGGGTGCCCCCATATCTGCCCTTATTTGTGTTGGATATGAAGGGTGCTGGTCAGCCCGGCCGTTTGAGGACCTTTGAGGCGATCGTCTGGGTCAAAATTAAACCCGGACAGTGGTCGGACGACCTATCCGGGGTATAAGGCTGGCTTGAGGTACCCAGATGTAGATGCTCTTACACCCAATGAGACTCATAAATTTTTTGTCTGCTCCACGGCTCCGATCGTGTATAATCCCTTCCCCATTCGTGTTGGCCAATTTTTTTAAAAATAAAATACTCCAGTAGCTCCATGAACTCGTAAAAAAATTATGAGATAGTGTATAACCCCTTCCTCTTTCGTGTAAACTTTGTCATGAGGCAACCGGCGAACTTTTAGGGTGCCTCCACGCTCGCCCCCATGCCCGTCTCATCCCGCTGACCGGCCGCGCCTCCCCGCATCGTCCCTCACTACCCTGCCCCATACCCGCACCGCTGCGACAACCCGCTGCCACTCAGACGAGCCAGATATAGCATCGGCAAGCCGCCCGCCATTCGTCTGCCTACCCGCATCGGCCCCTATCGGCCACCTCCCCGCAACCGGACACTCCTCAGCCGCTTCGTTGAGCCACCAACCTTCTGGCCCCTATCACCCGGTCGCTCCTCGGTCGCCTGGTTGAGCCGCCAAATGTCTGGCCCCCTTCACTCGGATGCTCCTCTGCTCCATTTCGTCCCAAGGTATTCGAAGAATTTCATCATTCAATTTTTTATATCTCCACAAGAACTCCTGCTAAGATTGTGTATGCTCATATTGTACGCCGTCACTTGCATCACAGATGAACACTCTTGTTGAGTGGTTTTCCGAGGACTCATCCTTGTCATTGTTGGTGGTCCTGCACAATTCTAGTACCAAAAGGATTTGTGGCGCATCGTGACACAAGATCATAGAGGATGAGCGGGAATAGCCACTAGACTATCTATGGGGACCCCGACCTATATGGTCAAAGCCTCCCATTTTACATGCATTAGTGTCCCATGATTAGCGTGTCACTGTGTATAACGAACTGATAATCAAGAGTTTACACTCAATACATAATGTCTTACATAAATAGGACCATCATGGTTAAGTCATACACAAATACAACCTTGAAGGCTAAACACCAAAGAAACACTTGCATCGGAAATCATCCTGGAAACTTGGATCCATGCCATCTGCCTTAAACCTACAGGCAAACTGACTGGGGAAGCTTCATGGGTCGCGTGAATGTGAATGCCTTCGAAGATCTCTTCTTGAAACTCCTGATCTTCCATGCCTGGTGTCGGTGTGAAATCCGGTGTATCTCGTAATTGGGGTCCTAAGCTAGGTGTCTTGGAGCGATGGTAACATGGGCACGGGATTTTAACCAGGTTCAGGCTCTCTCGAAGAGATAATACCCTACGTCCTGCTTTTGACTGTATTCATATGGGGGATAGTACAGGGTACATGTATCTACCACGAGATTGTTCTAATGAATATCAGTTCCTCTATTGACTAGCATGGCCTTGGTTTATATAATACACCGGAGGCCTAGGGATTTAGGAGAGTCATCGGCTTGTGCGCCAAGTCTTGTGGAAACCCCCTTGTATATGGCATGGGCTGCCCGAAGTGGCCCATGAGTGAACCGCCATGGGGGTCCTCGGCCCGATCCAGCTGGTTGGGTGACGACGTGATGAATACCCCCTAATCTAGGACACCGTCAGTAGCCCCTGAACTGGTCTTAAGTTAGGGACGCTCCTCGATTCTTCTGAACTGTTCTTCATCTTTGATCGTCGGTCTTGAAAACCGGTTCAACAAATCTTCCCATCTTCGAT